ACTGATTAAAGCAGCAGTGCACTCAGGTGGCCATGGCGGCCAACAGCATCCTGGCCTGTATCAGCCATGGTGGGGCCAGCAGGGCCAGGGCAGGGATCTTTCCCCTGTGCTGGGCACTGGTGAGGCTGCATTTCCAATCCTGTGTTCAGCCCCTCACTCCAAGAAGGACGTAGAGGAGCTGGAGCGTGTCCAGAGAAGCAATGAAGCTGGTGAGTGGTCTGGAGCACAAAAATGATGGGGAGCGGCTGAGGGAATTTGGGGGATTCAGCCTGGAGAAGTGGAGGCTGATGGGAGACCATATTGTCCTCTACAGCTCCCTGAAAGGAAGGGGTAGCAAGGGGGAGGTCAGTCTCTTCTCCTGAGTAATTAGCAATGGGACAAGAGAAAATGGCCTCAAGTTGTACCAGGGAGGTTTAGATTGGAGATTAGGAAACAGTGATCAGGCACTGGAACCCAGGTTGCCCAGGGAGGTGGTGGAGTCACTGTGCCTGGAGATGTTAAAAAAACATGGAGATGTGGCACTTGAGGCCATGGTTCAGTGACCATGGTGGTGTTGGGTTGGCCATTGGACTTGATGATTTTGGAGGTCTTTTCCAACCTTAATGATTCTGTGATTAAAGCTGTGGTTTGTGTCACTCACCTTCTGGTCAGACCACCGTCTCACTCGCCCACCAGGGACAGCCTTCTCCCAGCCATCAAACAACTACGTGGATGGGAGCAATGAGAGTCTGGCAGGGGAAGAAAGGAGCGGTGAGGCATTGCAGCTCTGCTCTTGCACATTTAAATCAGTCTCCTAAAAGTTGCAGCACCCTTTTATGCACCATAACTTAATTTTCCAGGAGCAGAGATGCGAGTGTGGCCATGCGGGCTGCGGGCTGCTGCTGCTGGAGGGGGAGATGTTGGTGCCCCATGTCTGGGAGCAGGAGGTGGCTGGTGACGTTTGGCTGTTTCCAAGGCTGGTGTTTTGCGGCACAGCAGCAGGAAGGGGCTTATTTTCAATAAACCTTGTAGCAGAGGCTGGATGTGCAAACTTCCATAGCCGGTGCAGCCGCCCAGGATCTGTGCGGGTCCTGTTTGCTTTTTAACCCCCAGGGCGCTGTGCCTTGGTGTGGCATTTCTGTCTGTCTAAACCAGTCGCTAATTAATGGGAGACCTCACTGGGGGTTCTCGGGGGCTGTGGATTAGCTGGGGCCGCTTCCAGCGCAGGACAGAAACAATGCTGCTCCATGGGCCGATGGGTGGGTGAGTGACCTCTCTCTGCCTTTTAGTGAGCAGTTCTTTTAAAGGTATTACAGAAAATGCAGAAATGTGAAGAGGTATCCTTCACATCTCTCTTCCCTGCAAGCTGGCAGCCAGATGCTCTGCGCTGCTCAGGGACAACGCATCTGCAAGTGCCCTTTGCTTTCTGAAAATAAAATGCCTGCTGGCAGCATGGGGCTGGGCGATACAGCACCAGGGCCAGGGGAGAGCCGCAGGCAGGAGGAGCAGGGTGCGCTCTTCAGAAGCACACAGTAGCGTTTTCCTTCATATCTCTGTCGCATTAAAACCCAACTCCCGGCATGGTGTTAGAAGGGTTAAGGGCTGGGGGGCGAGCAGGGGTAAGCCATGAGGGTGCTGGCTGGGTTCCCAGTGCTCACCATAACCGTGCTGGGGGTTGGGCAGTCCCTCTGAGCATCTCCCTTCAGCAGCCTCCCCAAACCACCCGGCTGAGCTGGGCACACAGCTTCACCACCACCTCCTATTGCTCCTGTTATTTTTATTATTTTTGGGATGGAAAGCTTACTTATCCTCTTTACGGATTAAGACGCAGCTATTTCTATTTCCTCCGGACTGTTTCCACTGCCTGCAAACCTGCCCCCTTTTCGGCCTGGCAATCTGCCGAGACATCACGCCAAAAAGCCACCTTTGCAATGGGCTGGCCGCCCCCTTGCTCTGCTGGTCATGCAAGCTGGGAGCAGGCAGGAAATGTGATATGACCTCTGGTTGCTGTGGGTTACGCGGCACCTTTTTTAAATAGGCATGGAAAAACAAAGAGCCTGGAGTGATTTTTTTTCTTTTCTTTTCCGTTTTTTAAAATAAGAATGTTGCTATTGTGAAAGTCGTAGCTGTGAGCGTTTGAAAACAAACAAGCCCATATCAGGCAAAACCAGTGGTGGCTCTGGGGTGGATGGCTTCAGATTTTTTAATAAATAAAGAGTCCAGTTGGCATTTCTGAGTGTGGGAGTCCATTTTCTGAAGAGACCAGGAGATTTTTGGCTCTCTGGAAGGCCGATGGTGTTAGACATCTCAAAAAGAGATGAAGGATGCTCACCCTTCGAAGGTCCCTTTTGGTGTTGCAGAAGCCTCCGCTTTAGGAACTTTCACCCACACTTGGCCCCCGTTCCTGGAGTCTGTCATCTTGAGGCGATTCAGTTGCTGAAGGAGATGTAATATGTTTTGGCTTTCTTTATAGAGGACCTTCATGTAATGGTGTTTGCTGCCTCTGCCAGAGGCGCTCTGTGTCTCGGCAGAGGGTCTGGGATGTCCTGAGTCTCTTCCGCAACCCTTGGGCTCGTGGTTTTCTTTGAAACCCTTCAGGGATGCTGAGGGGCCCCAAGGATGGGCTTTGGGAAGGGAGCTGAGGGCAACAGCTCTGCAAATGGGATCTCTGAAATGGCTGTGGGGCTGTGGTGAGGTTGCTTTGCATTTGGAAGCATTTACGTAGGAGATGCACGCTGTGAATCTCCTGCTGTGATTTGCCCAAACCTGTAAAATACGGAGGTGAGAAAACCCGCCGAGGTGTCCCAGTGCTAAACCTGCTGTAAACGTGCTTCCCCAGCCTTCGCCTTTTCTGCTTGGCTTGGCCCAAGGCTTGCACCAGGGGGTACCAGGCTGTGCCAGGAGGTCTTGTACCTGCGGCTGCACTGGTGGGGTGTCCTTGTGTTATTAATAATAATTATTAATAGCAGTAAATTAAGCTCTGTTAGTTGCTGGAGGAATCGCAGAGGGGAGAGAAGTGGGTGGTACCCAGAGCCATTGCATCTCTGACACTGAGTGCTGCCTCCTGATTTCTCCAGCATCTGTTGCTTCCCTCTCCTGGGGAGCATCTCAAATAAGCAGAGAAAAATAAAAAGAGAAAAAAGAGTGATTTGAGACAGGGTGTGGGGAACAGTTGCCCCCGCATCCACTTTCTGGAGCCACCAAACAGGTCCATGGAGCTGAGGAGAACATCACTCCCCTGCGGCCGTCCTCCCTCCTGGCTGTTCTACGCAGGCAATCGTGGCCAGGGAAATGCATTCATCAAACCAATTTTATTTATTTGTTATGTTACTTTTTGTCTTCAGCGTGGGTCATTCATAACGATTAAGGAGAAGCGAGTGTCGCCAAACTGTCGCTCCGGCTGGGGTTAGGCACTGCTTTTGCTGCTGCTGGAGGTGCCCTAAAGGGTGGGCTGTGCATGGGGAGGTTTATTGTGTTTTAGGGGGTTGTTGCTCTCACTATAGCAGCAAGAGATAAACTGAGAGGAGTTTGAAAGGCAAAAATCAGTAAAATAGAGTGTGTGTCTCTTTTAAGTCTCTCTCGGGCTTTATTACTGAGCTGCTGGTGCCCAGAATTGAGCTGTGGTCCCAGTAACGTACCAGGTGAGCTAGGGGCTGAGGGCTGGCTGGAAAAGGTGGCAGAGGCAGCTGGTGGGACCCTGCCCTGTGGAGGCTTTCCAGGGCGGCCAGGGCAGGAGCAGAAGCCTGGACCCAGCTCCTTCTCTGCTCTGAAAAAAACACAGGCACCTTCTTAGGACCTGGTTCAGCATCGCTCCTCTCTGCTGGAAAAAAAGAGCTGGAGGAGGTGAACATGAAAAAGGCAAGGGACAGCTGGAAGGATTTGGGATGACGGGTGCCTGAGGAGGGGGCTGAGCCCAGTGCTAGTGGGTCCATCACTGGGATGGTACTGGCTGGAGAATCTCCCAGCTGAGCATGGTGGTTGTACCAAAAAATCACTGCCTAATGCTCTGTCTCTGACTTTCCCCCTTGCAGATGTTCATCATGGAGAAGGTGGAGGGCTCCCAGTGCAGCCTGCATGAGTTCAGCATCACTGGCTCCACCTATGCCCCCGAGGGACAGATGTGAGTGCAGGTCCCCCCTGCTTTGTGGGTGACTTGGGGTGGTCCTGGGCTGGCAGTGTGGTCGGGGGGAGGTGGGAGGGTTGAGCTCGTGGCTGCTCCTGGGTCCCCAGGCTCACCCCCACCTGAGTTTTCCATTTTGGTTCACAGCCATGCTCGACGCTGCCCATGGAAATACCTGCTGGGCACTGGTTTTTGGCCACATTGGGCAGCTGCCATTCACTTTTGGTGGGAGCCAGGACAAATTGTTTCACCGTCCTTTGTTGCCTGCTCGTACCCAACACGATGTAGGTCGCCCTGGTTCTGCCTGCTGCTCTCCCAGCAAAGGGGCTCCCACGTGCTCGGCTCTCCCTTTGTTAGCAAACCTGATAAAATGAGCCCACTTTTGAACCAGAGAGGGGGGCAAGTGTTGGAATAATAATAAATGAGGCTTTTCACAGTACATGCTCACTCTCTGAATTTCTGGAGCCTGCACATTTTTGGTATTGCCTGGTGACCGTCGCCCTCACCCCAAGCAGGATCCAGGCTTGGCAGCTTGTCCCACAGCCATGCCACCAGCGATGTGCAGAGGGATTTGCAAATGGATGCAAAACCCTGCAGGAAAGTGCTTCCCAAGCCCCACGTCCTCAGCAGGGCTGGCTGAGATGGCCGCTGTGCATCAGAACGTGTTTCAGGGCAGACGTGGCCTTTGCTGGGCTGAGCTGAGGGCAGAGATGGGAAGCCAGGGGTTTTTCCCCCTGCTGTGCTGTTACACACGTGGGGTTTTCTGCCATTGTGTGTGTTTATTGGAGGGAGGTGATACTCCCCAGCATGGGGCAGGTCTGGGAAGGAGGAAGACGAGGAGCTCAGCCGGTGGTTGAAGCCCTCTGCACTCCCCTTTGCTTTGCTGTGTGATCCTGGGCACGTTCTTCACCCTGGTCCCTTCTGCTCATCTGCGGAGTGACTGTAATTCATCCCAGCCTCAGACTTAATTTCTTGAATATTTATAGAGCTAATTTGATCCTTGGCTAAGAGTCTCCATGAAAAAGTGAGCTGGGCCATAAGCTGGTATCAACCAGTGCGTTTCATTAAAATGAGGACTGAGGGGCTGAACAACCTACCAACCTCTGAAGCCACAATGTCCCCTCTCCTCCGGGGACTGCTCACAGGGAGGCTCTGCGTTGGTCTGCAACAATTCCCATTGCTTCTGAGTTTTGCCTCAGCCCCGTGCTGGTATTGCACATAGGGGGGGATGTGGGAACTCACTTAGGTGTCACAGAGAGGAACTTCCCCGTTTCCCTGGGGCTGGTGAGACTGAAATGCTTGTTTCTCTTCCACCTGGCCTCAGCACAGGGGGTATTACGTGCCTGACTTTGGGTTTGCTCGTGTCCCTGCACAGCACCCATCCTTTGCCGATGTCTTTCCTGGTGTGCAAGTCTCACCCAGCTCCGAGCAGGGACAGCCAATGACTGGGACGTACCCCACCCATCCCTTCCCGGTTCTCCAGGGTCTCACCCCCCAGCATTTCCACCATCCCAAACATCCAAACCCAGCCCAGGTGCCTGCAGGCAGAATCCCTGGGCCGACGGCAGTAGCTCTCCCTGCCCACTCGCAGCCCAGCGCGGCTGCTTCCCCCTCAGCAAACGTATTTTTCAGATTTTCTTGGCCGCTCCCCGTTTTCCACTCCTGAGCTGTAGCAAGGGCTCCAACATGTTCTTTCCATCGGGAACCAGCAGTGGAATAAACTGATCCTAATAAATGCCTGACAAATTATTTTTCCAGCAGACAGATGACTGGCTGGATTTATACAGCTCTAACCTGCAGTTACCTCTCCTGGAGTCAGGATAATTTTTGTATTTCCCCTGAAAATCACCGCTGCCGTTTCTGCCACCAGGCAGCAGGCGAGGAGCAGCATCCAGCTTGACTGGGGTGCTTGGGGCTGCTCCTTTCCAGTGACTCTTCTGCTCCTTTACATAGCAAAGAGCTGCTATTTAGGAAGCAAAGGCCACAGTTTGCTGCTTGCTTGGAAACAGCCGCAACAATGCAGTTGTTAAGTTTGTCTGCTGCTTTTAAATGCTCCCTTGGGTGCCTGCTGGCTCGCCAGAGCATGAAGCAGCATCATGGGGAGGAGAAGAGATTTGCTGCCGGCCCTACAGCTCCTCTTTATCCCCAGCAACTGGAAACCCCTGGGGATGTGAACATTAACTTGAATTTCTTTGCCCTTTTCTTGTCCATCATCTTAATCATCAGCCTTTTGAGAGCCCCTGCTTTCAGGTCCAATGCTCCTTTGAGCTCCTCTGCATCCCCCTTTCTGCTGGGGCACTTACAAAGTTTATTTGCTTGCTGTGATATTTTTTTTGCAACTCATCCTGCCCCATTTGGTAAAGCACAAAATGAGATCCCAGGTGTTTATTGCCAAGCCTGGGGCTTTCACTGGGCTCTTTCTCCCTGTTTTGTGGAAACTTTTACAAGGGATGTATAGAAGTGAAGGATTATTTTAATGTGTAAGGTGGTGTAAGGCTTTGGGGGTTATTTTGTCCCTGCAGCCTGAAGGACGAGCAGCCAGTGCAGTGTGGGCACTACGACGGGCTGGTGGAGCTGGCCACCATCTGTGCCCTCTGTAACGACTCCTCGCTGGACTACAACGAGGTGCGGCGGGCACTGGGGTGGTGTAGAGGGCTGGTGGTGCTTTGCCCTGCGCTTTGGGGCAAAGCCAGTGGAGTTTTGTCCCTTGGGATCCCCTTCCCTGGCTTCAGCTCGTCCCAAGACTCTGGGATTCCCGGGATGATGCAGCGGGTGACAGCATCCTTGGTTGGAGCAGCAGGTAGAGGATGTGCTCTAAAGCTTAAGCTCTTTTCTGTTTCTGTCCTCTAGTCTAAAAAAGTCTACGAGAAGGTGGGGGAAGCCACTGAAACAGCCTTGACATGCCTGGTGGAGAAGATGAACGTCTTCAACACCGACACCAGCAAACTCTCCAAGGTGGAGCGAGCCAACGCCTGCAATTCGGTGAGTGGGAGGGAGCCCGTGAGCTCCAGTGGCAGGGGCTGAGAGGGCTTTGGGATGACTGTTATTTGAGCAATATCCACTTGGGATGATCTAAGGGACTGACCTGCCCCAGTAATGCAGTTTCCTGGCTTGCAGGAGCTGTTTTTGGAGCTGACCGTGCCATGGCCCTGGGGGGACTGATGCTGGGACCGTGGGGATGGACTTGGGTCCACATGGAGTTTTGGAGCAGTTGGTCCCTGAGCCTCAAACTCAGCCCAGTCCCTGCTCAGCCAGGAGAGCCCCCCTTGGTGATGGCCAGACACTCCAGCTGCAGATCAGGTCTGTGGTTTTGTAGCTCCACAGCAAATCTTTTGGTGTCTGGTTTGCCCTGAGCAGCCATCCTCCGTAGCATGGACCAAACCCAGAGCCATGCCTGCCTGAGCAAGACTTGGTCTTTGGAAACATCTATTTATGATGTGAAAATATGCCATGCTGGCTATTCCCACTTTATTTTATGTCTGGATTTACTCAATTTTGGTATCGTGTAGTTAGATCTTTCAATATCTGTGCTTACTCGAAGGAAGGGCCCTCTGCTCTAGCATTGCTTCCCCAGATAGGTCCAAGCAGGTTGTAATAAATCCCGTGTCTCCTTTCTGATCAGGGAGATGGAATTTCACAGCCCAGCAGCTGCTCCATTATCTGCCCCATTACATGTGCCCTCGGGCGCCCAGCTGGATTCTGTGTGGGCTGATGTCCCTCACTGCTGCTGCTCTCCTTACCTTGTGTTTGGGCAGCGACAAAAATCCCTTCCTTGGAGTTTCCTTGCAGCATTTCTTCTGAATTTTGCTCCCTGTGGCTCCGTGCTGTGAAGTCTTCGGAGGGATGTGGGATTACCACAGCATCTGGCTGCTCCCCCGTGTCCTTGCTGCTGCACTGAGGGTACAGTGCCTGGGGTGACAGCACTGTGTTTGTGGACACAAAACTTCCCACGTTAGTGTGGTCACTGCACTCATACCCTGCACTGGGTTTGGTCTTGGAGAGTCCCTTGGTTTGTTCAGTGCATCTGCAGATGGCGACCACAGCCGCTGGCAGCCCACATTTCACATGAGCACATCCCCTTTGCACATCTCTCCATCTTTGCTGCAGCAGGAGCATCCTTTTAACTTTGGACTTGTAGGGTTTTACACTGGAAAGGAGTTTTCTCTTTTGCCTTCTTCACTGATTTATTTATATTTAAAAGTCCTGTGCAAAAAGCTGTTTCTGTTGCCATCATAAGCAGCACCCTCCTGACAAGAAAAAAATAATCATATAAGCAGTTGAACCATGTGGAGCAGGGCTGGCATCATCATCTCTGCTGCCCTCTCTGGAAAATACTTTGAATCATCCCTAGATGCACTGCTAATTAAATTAAATTAGTTTTTCTGGGACAAGATGCATCCTCCCAGCAGCCGGACTCAGCCGCCATAATGCCAATGTGGCCACTCAAGAGAGGGATCGGTCTGAGGAGGACCGGCTGCTGTCTCACTGGGCGTTTGGCTCCTCAAATTATTAATTAGTAGCACTAGCAGAGCCTGGTTTGTGGTGGGGTTTTGGGGTGCAGAAGCCAGTCTGCAGGTACTGCCTGTGGGTCTGTGCACTGGGGCAGACCCTGCAAACCTGCAGATACCATTAAGTGAGAGTTACTGCCTGGCTGGCTGTCTTCAGGGTAATTAGCATGTCCTGAAATGAGCCTAATTAGTCTCAGCTCTGGAGATGCTTAATTTGATGGTAACTAATCTGGCCTCAGGAGATGCTGGTGCTCTTCGGCTACAGCAGCTGTTGTCATCCCATGTGGGGTCAGTAAAATAAAGGTCTGGCACATGCTTGTGCATGCTGTGAGCTGGGCAACAAGGCTGTCACTGGAAGTTTAAAATTCTCCCCAAAAATTGCATCAGGAAAGCTCCTGCTTTTTGCATTGTCCCATCCCTCCTGGCTCCTGTGTTTGCCTTTCTCCTCCCATCACTGGTGCTGTGCTGGCTCAGTGGGACTGTTAGCCAAGGTGGAGAGCGCCGGCTCCTGTGTCCCTGCCATGTCCCATTTCAGCTCTGTGGCTGTCCCCACCATGTCCCAACTCAGTCCTGTGCTGTCCCCACAGGTCATCAAGCAGCTGATGAGGAAGGAGTGCACCCTGGAGTTCTCCCGTGACCGCAAGTCCATGTCGGTGTACTGCGTGCCCACTGGCCCCGGCCACAACTCCACCGGCAGCAAGATGTTCGTTAAGGTAGGGCAGAAGGTCCTCAGCACCCTGCAGGACCCTCCTTCCCCATGCACATCCTGGCAGAATTTGGCCCGTAGTGCAGTGGGCAGGGATGCTTTGGGGTTTGTCTCCTCCCTTTGCTGTCTGGGAGTCCAGAATCCAGCAGGTAGGCTGGTGGGGTCTGGGAGGAGATGAGTCTTTGCAGTATTGATAGGGAAAAAAGGAGGTAAAATGATTTAGAGGGAGGAAAAGTCACTGAGTGTGCTGGTGCTGGGGCCAGGGGAGAGCTGCCCCTGTGCAAAACTTGGGGCAATTGCCTTTAGTAAAGTCTTGGACTCATCAGACACCAGTAATGCCCTAAGGGTCACGTCCAGCTTTCCACTGTAACCAGAAATAAAACAGTGTTTTAAGGGGCATTTTCTTC